TCCAACTAGAACAGATACCAAGTGCTGATACAATTTTCAATTTTCTTATGTAATTGAATAAGTGAATATTAAATCATATAAAAGAAACAAACATTTTCAATTTTATTGCCAGGACTCCTAATTTTTATGGAAGTATACAGGTTTTGAATGGTCAAGTACCCTAAAAATAGTTTGTTCATTGATTGTCTATAACAATAATAAATTAACATCCTCAGAGATAACATCAAGGATTGCTGGTGAGCTTGGTATATCCTTAATCAATATCCATATAGTGGAAACACAGTTGTCATGCAAAAGTAAACTTACAAGAATTCCTTCAAGATCCTGAGCTGAATATGCATGCACAAGCTTCCCTCTCTCCCTTTTCTTATATCTGGTGCACAGAAAAATAAGAAGATATTATTACAATGTGTTCCAGGCTCCAGCTCACCACACATGAAAAAGCATACAGTGACGTTAACTTGCTCACCTTCCTTGAGGCCTGGTAACCTTAGCAACAGTCTCTTTTTCGCCACTAGAAGTTCCTGTTGTCGTGTCAGTTTGCGCTTCTTTTTTCTCTTTTACTGTTAGAAACAGCCAAAATAATTCATACAACAGAATGAAAAAGTTCAATTATAAATTAAGAACAATTTCCAATTCAATATACCTTCATCATTGTTGGTTTCAGCTGTTTGCTGCCAAATAACATAAAAGAATATTAGTCATATAGAAAATTGGAAACAAACTTACTAATTAATTAATTAAAACTAAAGTCTAAAAAGAGAGTTACCACTTTCAATCTTTTAAGTATGCTATCAAACTGAGCAGTGTCAAAAGCCCATTCATTTGGCTTTTCTGTACCGATACCTATTTCATAATTAAAAAACAAAAACAACTAATTATTGATTTTTGAAAGCCGAATGATAAAGAAGGTAACAAAATTTCTTCCAACTTCAGTTTCCACGCAACCCAGTGAAGCAGAATAGCACTCGGTGGCAATCACTTGCTACTTCATTGCAGTGCTAAGGAATCTCTATTTTGTTCAATCACCCCCCCCCCCCTTAACCCCCACTCTCCACCC